TGTTTTTTTTCAGTCAAGAGAGTAAAGATTTTACAAGAAGTTCAACAGACATTTTTGCCTCGTATATACCACCTTAATAAACTATGACAGTTTTTTTATTTTTTTATTTACGCCTATCGCCCCTCTTGGGACATAGGCCGTCAACCAGGTTCCTCCAGGCAGAGCAGTCCTGAGCCAGCGTCTCCAGTTCTTTCCATGTGCGGCCCATCTTCTTAACATCTGCCTCCATGTCTCTGCGCCATGAGTTACGAGGCCTTCCCCTCTTCCTTTTTCCTTGAGGATTCCAAGTCAATGCCTAAACTATGACAGTATAAAGTAAAAATGTCCAATTGACATGTTCTATCAATTAAATTATTACTATCCAATCAGATTAAAATATTGTTTACCTGCAAATGCAAACGTAGCTAGTTTACTTCTTTCCATTGGTGGTGCCCATCTACTCCATATTGACTGGATAGCGGGATATGTTACACCCTACAAAGCAATGAATTAGATTATAGTAAATAGAAACTCAACTCAGATAGAAAATCTGATACACAATCAGACTACATCTGCTACAATTAATCTGATGCCCTGGGTGGATCATTCGAGTACAAGTGTATCCAACTTTACAAATGGGATTCCAATTAATGATTTTTTTTGTTTCTTTTTTTGGATAGGGGTGATTTTTTCAAGCCTTCAGGTGTTTATTCACAGGTAAATATGTCAAGCCCAGTAATGTACATCACTAAACACATTTATTGATTACTAACCACGTTTACAATCATGTCACGTTTATCACTATCACAGGTTAATTCAAGATTTCAATCTCGACTCATAGCTGACCCACTGGGATAAATTCAGTATGTCTGCTATGAGTAAACTGTACACATATAATATTTACCTCAAACAAGCCCTGAAGTACTCTGATTCCTACAAGGAAATACACACTCCACATGGTTGCTATGGGAGTTAGAAGAGTAAGCAGTGCTGTTCCTAGGATACCACCACCAAAGATGATTTTTCCACCAAACTTGTTAGCAAACCAGCCTCCAGGGATCTGCGTCACAATGTAACCATAGAAAAAAGATCCAAGAACTATACCTGAAATACAAGACCATACGAGTAATTTTTTTGTTAACTGCACTATCTTGTGTAATGTTGGAATTTATATACGTTGATTCAACGTCTGCTGCAAAAAATCAAATTAGTTAATTTTAACAATTTCTCTTTGTTATATTTCAATGTCAAAATATCTATCTTTCAGATAGGAATATTGCGTTAAAATATCCTTATTTCATCAAAATTGACCATTATCAAATGTTTATAGGGCATACATTCATTTTCACATATGATCTCAAAGTGACGAAAAATTGTAGCAGGAATCAACAAGTTGAGTGTTTGTATTTTGAGATGTAAGTCTTATAATGTAACAGCACTGTAGGGTGGTATAAATGACTGGGATTTCAGAATTAGATTTGAATAAATCATGGATATACGCAAGAACTAAGACTGAAGACTATAATTCTGGTTTTGCCTCCTTACTACAACAAAAAAATGAAACACAATCCCTTCTTTCACGACTGGAGGTATGACACTCTGCCCCATCAATTCTATTATATACATTAAAAGTGTGATATGTTTGACACCAGAACAGCAGTTGTTAAATCATTAAATAAAATTAATAGGATTTACAGCATAAAAACTAATAATTTATATTATTATATATCTATCACCCTAATGCCTGTCACACGCAACGTAATATTACCGTAATTGGTATAGTACAGGTGTGATGGTTCAAATACCAAAATGGCAACAGTAACAAAAAGACTTTCCTGGCGGCGATGATAAAATACGAACACGGAGCCAACAGATGAGGTTTCAACTGGTACTGGTATTATTATACTCTGCAAACATCAAGTACAATAACGCATTAAAACTCCACTACTCCAATAACTAGATACTTAAACTCCAATACAATTCAACGAGATCTCCGATCTGAACTCAGTGCTGAACAACTCCCCTATATATACCCCACTGTCTATAAATAGACCATTACATCAGCATACATAATGAGTCTGGAACTTACTACCAATTTCTAGAATGTTCCATTACCTTCTATTGCAATTGCCTCCTACAGTGTTCTATTACCTATTCAACCATTTTCAAAAAAAAATCTAGAATATTCCACCCAGACACAGTACGGTTCTAGAACATTCTCAGTGACACGGAAGTGGTAAATAAGTCGTATGCGACAATGCCATAAGTTACAGTATGCTGTAATTTTGCGGTATTTTACAAGGTATTTTCATCCTACCATATTAGGAAATGCCAATACCATATATTGAACGACTACATGCATAAGCATCCTTTAATAATAAAAACAATCATTGCAGCCCCCGGGGTTTGACCCGACTCCACACAAAGAAGTTCGCTAAATCTGTTTTAAACATTTTGGATTTCGGCATTCCCATGATGTATTCTTGGAAGGAAAGATGCGAGTAGGTCGATACTCCAGCTGTACTGACTAAGTGCATACTTTGTAGTATCCTCATAGTAATATATAAGCAACTAGACAGTACACAATTAAAGGATACCTTATTTCAATGTCAGTTTTTAAGAAAACAAATAACCAGCTCATAAACCACATTTAAAACAGTGAAAAATATTACTGTAAAAAAAAATATTTCAGATAAAGAGAAAATATCACAAACATGCTTGGTCGATGGTGTTTGAATAGAACACAAGATATAAATGCAGATCATTACCTCGTACTTTGCTGTCCCAGACAAAATCTGCTGGCTATGAAAAAAACACATATTCAATAATTTATCATTCATATACTGAGTTAGTTAAGGTGTCCAATGTGACCCCCTAAGATGGTGGGTATATACATCTCTTGCACTGTGTTACTGTATGGCAAAGTATTTTAATAAGCATATGCTTATTTGGGCACTGTGACAATCATTTTTAAAGGTCTTTCAGAGATGCTGAATTGTTCTTACAGAAATCAAGTTGCAAACATAGAGTTAATGAAATCATCGAGTTACAAAAATGAGCACACACATATTTTAAAAACCACATTTGTCCACTTTGTAAAATGTCAATATGCAAAAGAAAAAATAGATAATGTGGACTTAATTTCTGAGATAAACAGTATATTACTGTATGTAGATTAATACATTGGTGAAACAACAAGGCATGACTATTTCAATATAATGAATGTGTCTGGAAATACAATTTGAAAAATACAATATAAAAAAGAGGGGGGTTATGAACCTATTTTGTATTTTGTAATATATGGGTACATGTTTTTCATGGAAAAATGGCTGTGTGTTCATTTCAAAATCACCACATTTAGAAAACTGCATGTATTGATCAATCTTGACACATTTCCTGCTGGTGTCTTGTTTTCCATTCAGCTAATAGCTGGGGAGGCGTTTAGCAACCAATATGTCATATTCTGAGTCGACAGTAGGCTCCTCTGAATTTACAACTATCCACTAATCCAAATACAGCTTAATTTCATTACTGTGACGAAAATTAAATTAAAATATAAATTAAAATATATTTACCTCTATTACGGTTTCATTTCCTTTTATCATAGTCTTGTTATTTGTCATAGCAACAATGGCAACTGATAAATTGACCCTTAATGCATATACATTACAGAATCCTAGAAACGCTAGAAACACTAATATATGCCTCTTAGGAACCTTTTGAAAACAGGACTCCACAGCCATGACAGACTTTCTATCATTGAATTCGTAGCTGTACGTACTGCGAATTGATGTTCTCTCATTAAATATCTCCGACATCGGAGTACTTGCACTTTTGCTCGATTCCTTCTCCATGACAAGATGTTACCAGGGAATACCTAAAATATAAAAATAATACATTAATGTATCAACAGTCATATGATTGTAATGTTGATTTCATTGCATAATTATTTTTCATATTACCGGTATGCACCTTAAAGAAAAGAAGTGTTACACCAAACTAAATCACAGATTCCAAGTACTGTAAAGAGTAATTATTCATCTATTGCTATATACCCAAATACCTTAGCAACTGGGCAGTGCATATCTTTGCACTGGGCAGTGCATTAATGTATGAATACATTTGCTTGACTATTTTCGTTCTGCTATATATAGAATACCACAGTTGTGGGATTAAACTGCACTGAAATGTAATGGTTATGTAGACATTTCACA